AAAGAGGACTTAAAAGGAAAAGTTTGTCGATACACCATCCTTCTCCTCCTCCTCATCACCACCACCACCATCATTATCATCATTATCCCCATCCATTATCCCATCATCAATCCCCATCATCATCATCATCATCATCATCATCATCCATCACCATCACATCATCATCATCACCATCATCATCATCATCACCATCACATCACCATCATCCCCCACCATCATCACTATCATCATCACTATCATCACCACCATCACCACTCACAAGAATATCAGGCGACCCCCCCCCCATAAAGCTCCAGACGCTTGACCCCAAGAAATAATCCATTCGTTTATTAATTGTTGAATTATTATTTTTATTGTTATTGCTGTTATTATTATTATTATTATTATTATTATTATTATTATTATTATTATTATTATTATTATTATTATTATTATTATTTATTGTTTGTTGTTATTGTTATTGTTATTGTTATTGTTATTGTTAATTATTATTATTATTATTTATTATTATTTATTATTTATTATTATTTTATTATATTATTATTATTATTATTATTATTATTATTATTGTTTATTATTGTTATTGTTATGTTATTATTATGTTATTATTATTGTTATTGATTGTTATTATTGTTATTATTATATTATTATTATTATTATTATTATTATTATTATTTATTATTTATTATTATTATTATTATTATTTTATTATTTATTGTAATTATGATATAATAATGATTATTATTATTATTATTATTATTATTATTATTATTATTATTATTATTATTATTATTATTATTATTATTATTATTATTATTATTATTAAATCTAATCTAATTTCGTTTTGTTTCCAGTGAGGAGGGCGGGGAAGGTGCAGGAGACGGCGGGGGACGCTGCCCCCCCCTACACCCAGGCATCACCACGCCAAACACCACCTCAAGTACGGCGAGCTGGTCATCCTAGGGTGAGTAATCAGGGTGTTTTTTTTTGTTTGTTTCTCTCTGTGTGTTTACGTCTGTCTGTCTCTCTGTTCTCTCGCGTATGTATGTATGTTTGTATGTATGTGTATGCGTGTATGTGTGTATGTATGTATGTATGTATGTATGTATGTGTATATGATACATTTAAGCTAATATTGATATCTCCTCCCCTGCCTCTGATCCCCCCTCCTCCTCCACGTGAATTCCTTTTACCCATTCCTTCCCGAAAAAACGTGGCTTGGGCGAGGATGAGCCGGCGACCTCTCCTGGGAGGTGTCATAGAGCAACAAGAAACACAACCGGCCCCAACGTCATTATGGACCTCTTTAAGTATAATCTTTTATTTTATTATAAAGTTAGTTTTCATATTTCATGACTTAAATAAAGTTTATCCAACTATCTAATCTACAGATAACATATTTTTTCATCATACATCTATTATCTCGTTATTTATTGTATTCACATATCATCAATAACTTCGTTAAATTATTTTATAAATTACTAATATTATTAAATTTATTACTATATCCCATTTATATTATATTTTAAATATGATGTAATCTTATTATATATAATAAATATTTATAAAAAATTTGTTGAATAAATTAATACTAATTTTAATTATAGGAAATACAAATTAATATAAAAATTAAAAGAAATATACTAAATTAGGGAAGAAATTTTCTCAATTAATTAAAATTAAAAATTGAATTTAATTCTTAAAATTTAGTAAAAATTTAAAAAAGTGAATTCAAAAAATAAACATATATTTCGACAAAAAAGAAGGGGTTTTAGGGAAATATTAATATGATCATGACGAGGGTAGAAATAGAAACTAAAATAATAAGTGTTTGTGTGAAATGGTATGATCATGACGGTGATTGGAAGGGGAGATAGGGGGGGTGTGGTGATGGGGTGAGGGGGGGGGGGGGGAGTTAGGGGGGGAATGGGGGAAAAAGGAAGGGTGGCTGGAGAGGGTCGATTGGTGAGAAGTCGTGTCGAGATATAGTGGGATAGAGATAAGAAAGTAGCATGTTGATAAGTGGATTGAGAAGGTGTCTATGGTCAGAATAGAGAGAGAATGGTGGGTGGTGAGAGATATGGCGTACACGAGTGGGGATCAAAAGGTCAGCAGAGCGGTATGTGGTGATACGAATGGATAACAGAGAGAAGTGTACACGTTCGCGGCTAGTGGAAGCTTACAAGTAGTTCCTGGGGTTGAAGGGAGGGCAAGAGGATTGAGGTTAGAGGGAGGGGTAGGTAGGCAAAGGGATTGGGTGAAAAGGAGGTGGGGGTGTAAAGGAGAAAGTACGAAAGAAGTTACAATTGAGAGGAGGGAAGGGAGAGGGGAGGGAAGGGAGAGTGGAGTGAAGGGGGTGGAGAAGAGGAAGGGGAGAGGGAGAGGGGAGGGGGAAGGAAAGGGGAGGGAGAGGGAGAAGAGAGAGATAGGGGAGGGAGAGGGAGAGGAGAAAATGAAGGGAAAACTGATGGGTATAGATGAGAAGGAGAGGAGGAGAGATTAATGGGGTAATGAAAGAAGGGGAATAGAAAGGGGAGTTGGAAAGATGCATAAACAGAGAGGATTATAACGAGAGGGGAAATTTTTAAAGAAAGGGGGGGGGAAGGACGGGGTGAGGATGATAAGAGTGAATGGAGGAAGAAAAAGATGGGGAGGGGAGGAGAAAAAGAGTTAGAAGATAGTAAGAGGAAGGGGAGAGGGAGGAGAAGAAAAGGGTGGGAAGAAGTGCATTAAAGGGGGGAAGAGAAAGGAGGAGGAGAGGGGGGAGAGGGAGGGGAGAGGGGGAGAGGGGAGGGGAGAGGAAGAAGGGGAGAGGGGAGAGGGGAAGAGGGAGAAGGGGAGAAAGGAGAGGAAAGAGGAGGGGGGGGGGGGGAGGGGGGGAGGAGAGAAAAAAAGAAACACGTGGTTCTATGGGACAGATGGGCGTAGGGCGAGAAGGGAAGTGTGGGAAGGGGTGTGTGGATGGGCATGATAAGGGGGGGGGGGGAGGAAGAGGAGGGACAGGGGGTGAGGAGGCGAGGATAGGGGTGAGGATGGAATGGAAGGAAGGAAGGAGGGAGGATGGATTGGATGGAAGGATGGAAGGAATTTGATGATGGATGGATGGGAAGGAATGGAAAGAAAGGAACAAGAAAGGAAAGAAAGGAAAAAAGAAAGAAAAGAAAGAAAAGGATTGGATGGATGGATGCGAAAAGGATGGATGGATGGATGGAAAAGGGATAAGAAGGAGAGAAGAAAGGGAAGGATGAATGGAAGATGAGGAAAGAAGGAAGAGGAAGAGAGGAACTAAAGATGGAAAGAAGGAAGGAAGGGAAGGATGTAGAAGGGAAGAAGGGAAGGATGGATGGAAAGAAGGATAGATAGAGGGATGGATAGTTGGTTGGAAGCATAGTTTGGGAGAAGGAAGGAAGGAAGGAAGAAGGGAAATGGGGCAAGTAAAGGAAGGAGGAAAGAGAGAAGCGCAGGAGAGAGGAGAGACAAGTGGGAGAGAAGAGGGCAAGGAGAGAGGAGAGAAAGAGGTGAGGCAAGTAAAGGAGAGAGGGAAAGTACGGAACCAATTGGGAATGAAAGTGGGAAAGAGAAGAGGAAGGAGAGGATAAAAAAAAATAGGCGAAGAACAAGACAAGGAAAGATTGGAAAAACAGAGAGGCGAAGAAAAAGTGGGATAAGGGGAGGGAGGGGAGGAGTCAGGGAGAGTGTGTTACAGATAGAGGAAGGGCAGATTGGTTTGCAAGGGTGGGGGGTGATAAAGGGTGTGGGGGGTGGTTCCCTTACTTCATTCAATTTCATGCTCCCACATGTTCTATTCTGCTTCTGAATCCGTCCCATTCCTCTCTTCCTTTCATTCCGGCCTATTTTAATTCTCTTTTTTTTATTATTTTTCCTTATTTGTTGTTCAGATTTAATTTTAAAGAATGACAGTTGTAGATTACTTGTGTTGTTTGCTATGATTTTGTTGATATTTTGTTCATATTGGTATGTATTCATGATGATTATTATTTGTTTGTTATTTTATTTTGTTTTTTACTCATTCATTTCTCTCTCTCTCTTTACCTCTCTTCTCTCTCTTCTCTCTTCTTCTCTCTCATTTCTCTTCTCTTCTTCTGCGCTCTCTCAAATCTCTCTCTTCTCTCTCTTTCTCAATCTCTCTCTCTTCTTCTAAGCTCTTCAGTCCTCTCATCTTCTTACCCCCCCTGTGCCTCCCTCTCCCTCTTCTCCCCTCTTCATGCTTCTCCCATCTCTCCCTTCTTCTCAATCTCCCTTTATCTCTT